GATGCTGAATTTTGATTTGGAATTGAAATTGGGCAAGATTTTGGGAGCATTTGGGCCTTTAAGGGTAAATTGGGGTTTTGGTCAAATTGGATTAATTTGCTCAAATTGGGTCAAATTGATGATAAAAAATTGAAATTGGGAATATTTGGGATGATTTTGGAATTTTTGAAATTTTTGGCTCATGAGGGAGATTTTAGTAATTTTGGGCAATTTTGGGGGTATTTTGAGAATTTGGTGATTTTGGTGGATTTTGGTAGATTTTGGTCAATTTAGGTTGTGGTGAGTGTTTTGAGATGATTTTTGGTCCAATTTGGGTATTTTGGGTAATTTTGGGATTTTTGGTAAAAATGAGGATTGTAGGGGTATTTTGGTAATTTGGTGATTATGGGCTAGAATGGACAAGTAAGTCATGAAGCCATGCCAAACCAATAGGAGTGATGTGAGGACTCATTTTGGATGCTCAATATGCTGGTTCTAACCCTCTTACCCAAAGACTAGACAAATAGGTTCATCCATATGAGCTTTCCAAAAGGGGTCGGGAGACCAAATCAAGGGGTCATTGGGCCTCAGTAAGTGAAAAATTGTAGTGCGTGCAAGTTACCCCACCAAAACCAGATCACCCAGGATTGATACTAAGGTTTAACCATCCTATGGAGGACTCTCCTTAAGCTCCTCCATACTGACCCCACCTACTAAGTGCTAGAGGTTATGACCAACATGTGGAACTTTAAGTTGAGTGTTGAGTAAAGAAGAATTTCCAGTGGTGAGGGTTCCTTTTCTAGTCCTCTAGGAATAGTCAACAGAAAAGTCCTATGGCTAGACCCTAGGCTACTAAAGAGGAAAAACTCAACCAACAATGAGGTCACCTCTTATTAATAAAATAGCGAACGGCTTTTCAGAGCTGCTCCAAAATGGGCCCTCAGTTTGCCCCACATTATTCAAACAGTGTGGCGGCGTTTTCAAAACACCGCCGCACCCCAATAAGCTGCCCCAAATGGGCCCTCAGTTTCCAGAGGGCTTTGAGCAAACATAGGTGAAGCAAATTTACATAAATAATTTCGTAAATCATCTCTAAAAACCCCTCAAACACTAGGAGCATATGGACACCAACTTCCATTAATATTAAGTTTAATCGAACCAACAATAGGGGCTGCCATTTAATCAAAAGCGGCCTCCTACTTTGCTCGGGTATAAGCTCTGCTGAATTCAATCTTAAGCTACGATAAGCCTTATAGTTGTGTGATAGTATATAAGAAACAATAAGAGAGGGGTTAGGAGGAGAATTTTCATATTTGTAGACATTCCTTGCTGACCATATATACCATAACACCACTAAAGAAAAATAGGCAAGTTTTTTATGAATTAAAGTTTTCCAAAAAAACATGAAATCTTCCAAATGATAATTGTGTGGCCATACAACTCTGAAATGCCTCCCAATCCTCAACCAGATAACATTAGAGAAAGAACAATCATAAAAAAAGATGCAAAGAAGTTTCTTCAGCATTGCTACAAATATAGCATTTAGAGGCCAACCGAAGACCCTTTAACTTCAAGGTATCAGCAAGAGGCAGCATGAAGAGAAAAAATCTCCATAAAAATAAAGAAATAGAGGGAGAGAGGAGAACATGCCAAATGAAATGACACCACTTCCAATCAGTAAAAGTATGAAAATGAGAGTATAGCATTTTAGAAATAGAAACATTGGAGAAGAATTTCCATAGAGGGATATCTTTTTATTCATTGAGATAGGAACATTAGCTATTGGGGCAACATATTCCTCCAACAAATCCCTTAGTTTAAATAAATCACAATGTTCATTAATCCAACATTAAGAAACCCTAATATCATTATCGTGCAAGGAAGGAATGACATCAGGAAAGTTATTTAAACCCTAGTGTTCATGCCAAAAGGTGACCTTGCCTTCCCCAATATCCCAGTAAATATATTGATTAGCCAAAGATCTGGCTTTAAGAATATATTTCCAATTTCTTGAATCCCCAACCTTCCAACTCACCAAGGAAGGGTGTTGCTGTGTGCAATACTTTTGATGCAAGAAATTAGCCTATAAAGAAGTACTAGCTCTAAATTTAAATCACAGTTTGCACATATTAATCTTGGCAATATGCTGCAAATTATTAAAACCAAGGCCCCTAGAATTATGCGGCTTACAAACTTTCTGCCAACCTGCCAAAATTTTGGATTTACCCCCACCAGACCAGAGGAACTTATTGAATATGTGTTCCAAAGATTTTTTAGTGCTCTTTTTCAGATTAAGAACCTGCATAGCATACAACGAAATACTATGGAGAACACTTCTCAATAAAGTCACTCTACCCCCATTAGAGAGGAAAACATTATGCCAATAAGCAATTTTGGCCTTAATTTTATCTGCCACAACATCTAATTGAGTTTTTTTTTCTCCTACCACTAAAAATGTTTACTCCAAGATATTTAAGAGGAAGAGTGGTTGTAGAGCATCCATTATAGGTGGTTGCCCAATTGACATAGGTAGATTTAACAGCTTTCCCAAAAGAAATATGACATTTTACCTTATTGACAAATAAGCCAGAAGTAATCTGAAAAACATTTAGAGTCTGCATGAGACTCCTGATAGCAGATTTGGTAGTATTAGAAAACGGAATAACATCATCAGCATAGGCCAAATGACTTGCCAAAACCTTTTATTTGTGTGAGTATTGAACGTGGGGATGTGTCTCATTCAAACTATTCATTAAACGAGAAAAGTAATTGAAAGCCAGAATAAATATAGTTGGGGATAGAAGATCACCTTGCTTAATGCCACGTTGAGCGGAGAAGTAGCCATAAGAGTTGCAATTAACCAAAATACTATATAGATTGTTCTCCAACCATTGTTTTATAAAATGGCAAAATTTTGTTGGAAATCCTCTAGCCTTCAAAATATTGAGAATAAAATCCCAACTTATAGTATCAAATACTTTTTTAATGTCAAGTTTAAGAACAATATTTTCACCTCTACATTTTTAATCTAAATCTTCAACCATTTCTTGTGCTAGTAGTATATTATCTGTTATCTCTCTCAATTGAATGAAAGCAGATTAATGAGGAGAAATAATTTTAGAAAGATGTGGTTGGAGTCTAGTAACAATCAATTTGCTAATAACTTTGGAAATAACAGAGGTGAGTGAGATTGGTCTAAAGTTTTCTCAACGACTTACGAATAAGCACTATCATAGCTGAGCTGAAATATTTTTCCGGATTATCTCCCACAAAAAAACTTTGGGTAGCAAGAGTTACCTCTTTTCTGATAATATTCCAACAATGCATATAAAAGGCTGAAGTAAAATCATCAGGACCAGAAGCTTTATTAGGATTTATATCCTTAAAAGCTGAAAAGATCTCCTATTCGGCTGGGACATTTGATAGAGACAGACCAACCACATACTCCCTTTCCCTAGCAAAGTAATCAGAGTTAAAACTACATATATATATATATATATATATATATACACTTAATTTTAATTATTAAGATAAAATGCATTAAATTTAAATGATTTTAGAAAAAGCGAATTTAATCTCAATTTCTTAAAATAAATGAAATTACTTATTCATTTAATTATTCCAAAAACTCGATAGAAAGCTGTCTATTTGAAGAAAGAACTGTGAAGCTATTTAAGCTCTGTTTGGCGCAGCTGCAGCTTCTCAACTTTTCAGCTGCAACTACGCTTCCCCAGGAAGCTACTGCGGGAAAGCTGAATACATTTTTGTTGCAATTGTGTGAAAATAGCTGTAGGGGCAGCTGTTTCTAGAAAATTTACATTTTTGCCCTTGTTCAGTTAATTTGTTTGTAACAAAACTATGACACAATTTATTTAACAATTCAGAAGTAGAAATTCAAAATAATGAAGAATTAAAATGAGACAATCACAATGAAGTAAAATCAGCTTTAATTTGCATTAATGATAAAGGACCCAAAAAAATTTAAATTGCTGAAGCAACTACTATGAAAGAAAATTTTACTTAAATTTCATCGTAAGTAAATGCCACTAAAAATATTTGGGGATTAAAATATTACTTTCATAAACTCTGAGACTAAAATACCCCTGCACAAAACCAGTGACATTATGTCACTTTTATCATTAAAAGTTTGTTCAACAACATCATCACTATTGATAAAACAAACCTTGAACACAATTCAACCCCACTAAAACAATGAAAAAAAAAATAATTTGATGGCAGAAATTAAAAAAAAAATTCATCTTTCAACTTTTTAAAAACAAAAATAGCAGAGTAATGAAACATATTTATTCACCTTCTTTCTCTATCTTCTATAGAGTATTCAGGATCACAGGAATCACAAAAATCGCAGGATAAGATTTCGGCGTGGAGCTGATGAAGAAGAAAGGATCGCAAGAAGAACAAGGAGTGCAGGAATCGGGTTCGAAGAACCAAGATAACCTTTCCGTGGGCGAACGACGAATCAGGGTCGTAGGAATCATGATCGGAGATGAACCAGGATCGCAACGGAAAGACGAAGAAGGCAGAATCATGAATCAGAGGGCACCTGGGTAAAATGCCAAAGAAGCGAAGCAGGGCCGAAGGAGCGAAGCGGCGCCACGAGATCAATCCCGCAACTTGCGTTTAAGGAGATTCACGACTGGCCTGTCGCCTCAAAAACCATAAATACGCGGCGGGGCGCCGCACCGTAGCTCCGTCACCGCCCCAAACTAGGTCTTAATGAAGAACAATCTGCTGTTCAGAAAGCTGTGACAACTAATACAACTTTTTTTTTCTAAAGTCATACCACAATTTTCTTGCAACCACTGTAGGTAGTTAGGTTTGGTGAGAAAATAAAACTTTTAATTATAATTTTTTGAGAACGTAGGTAAAACATAATTTTGGCAAAAAAAAAAAAACTGTGGTGTGCACTTTAGATTTGATAGTTTTGTTTTTTAAATCAATAATTACTTTATTAAAAATGAATAAAAACCCGAGATCTTTTTGGGTCGATTATTTGAAATTCATAACACTTTTGCCCCACCACCCAACGGTCGTCTGTCTTCCTCTCCTCTCTCGTAGAGAACTCCAACGGTCCTCTCTTGCACTCTCCGTTCAGATCTCCGTTCACCTTGATTTTTTCAAGCTCTAACATTCGTCAGGTATAATCCAAACGACTCAATTTTTCATCTTAATTTTTTTCTGAGAAGCCCTAACATCACCCCACCTTCAAATCATGACGCTAATTTTTTTTCTTAGATTTCGACTAGGCTTTAAGTGGATGGGGCAGCAGAAGAGTCCTCGTCTTTGTTCTGATGTACTCATATGGAACCAGATCTATAAAAAATTTAAGGAGATGCTGAAGTTCCAGCAGTCTCAGATCGAAACCCTAATTAACGATCGCGAGTTTTTCGAGAACAGCTTCTACATTCAGCACAAACATTGGAGCAGCAAGGCACGGTTTCTTGAGTCCCAAATCGCCAAGGTAGGCTTCTAACGGTAACTTTTTGCTTGGTCGTAACCTCCGGTGTCTTGTCTTTTTGAGTAAAACTTGAAGCTTTCTTTGGGGTTATTTTTCTAGGGTTTTCTTCAGACCTTTTTCGTTTTCCTTTTCTTTACAGATGAAGGAAGAGCAAGCTAATACTCGCCTGGTTGAGGTTGCGAAGATGGGTGTTTTGGTCGGGTTCAAAGAGTCAGAAGCGCTGTGCTACAAGACGCAGTTAGGTGTGATTTCTCTTCTTTTTACCGCATGTTTTCTTTTCTCCCCCGCTTTTGTATTCATCAGTTCTATTTATTTCCCAATTTTTTGAAAGTCCGGACAATAAATCTGCTGATATTTGGGTAATTAAGTACTTCTTATTTCTGAACTATTTTTTGAGTTTACATGGCTTTGTCAGATTATCTACAATATGAAATATAACTGACAAAAATATATCATAGGAATAAAATTTTTGCCCTTTTCTTCTTGGATTTTTTTTTTGTAGTATTAATTTTTTTTTCTTAGAATCATTTTGTCTGTGTTCTTACCTTAATCTTGAGAAGCGCCTTTTCCTTGTCCAAACCAAGTTTGGAGAACTTCAGTGGCCTTCTATTTTTAATAGGTTAAGTCGGGGAGCTGGAGAGGCCTTTTTCCTGGACAAAGAGGGAAAGATAAAAGTAGTTTGTTTCGAAATGATTCATCTACATAAGATTTTTTTTCTTAGTGTTCATGTTCTTAAATGCATCACGCTTACCACCTTTTTTCAGAATTGTGCCCCAACTTAATATGCAATGAAAGACAGAATTTTCAACTTTTTTACTTACAAGCAATGATGCCTATGCCATAAAGTTGAAGTAGAGTCTCAGCACTTGCTTTTTTTGAATATCCATTGATTTATGTATCATTAATGCTATAAATTATCATTCGTTAAGGGATCTTGTGACTAACTATTTATAGTTAAAAATAAAATAACTACAAGGCAAATTAACTGACATCATATTCAGAAAATTTATACGTATCACTTTTGTTTATGAAATCAAAGAAAGAAGAGGTTGATTTAAAGTAAACTAAAAGTTTTTCCATTTTTTTTATTATCATTATTATAGACAACCTCAGCTAAATATCTCTTGGTTGGCAAATCCTGATTACTTAGTGCTGTAAATAATTTAGCTAATAAATTGACCTTGGTCTTGACATCCTGTGAATGTACCATGAAAGATAGAAATGTCTACTTTTTACTTGCAAGCAATGATGCCTATGCCATAAAATTGTACTAGAGTTTCAGCACTTGCTTTTTTTGAATATCCATTGATTTATGCTCCCTACTTTCTCCTCAATATTTCCATGGTTGGAGAATTATTAATGTTATAAATTATCATTCGTTAAGGGATCATGTGAATAACCATTTTTTTGAATATCCACGGTTGGAGATTTATGTACCCTACTTTAAGCACTTGCTTTTTTTGAATATCCATTGATTTATGTACCCTACTTTCTCCTCAATATTTCCATGGTTGGAGAATTATTAATGCTATAAATTATCATTCGTTAAGGGATCATGTGAATAACCATTTATATTTAAAAATAAGGAATCTACAAGTCAAACTAATTGACATCATATTCAGAAAATTTATACACATCCCTTTCATTTATAAAATCAAAGAAAGAAGAACAATTTTGGTTGATTTAAAGTAAGCTAAGAGTTTTTCCATCTTGTTTTTTTTATCATTATTATAGGTCACCTTAGCTAAATCTCTCTTGGTTGGCGAATCATTATTACTTAGTGCTACAAATAATTTAGCTAATAAATTGACCTTTGTCTTGACATTTAGTGAATGTACTATGAAAAATAGAAATGTCTATTTTTTACCTGCAAGCAATGAAGCCTATTCCTTAAAGTTGAAGTAGAGTTTCAGTGCTTGGATTTTTTGAAATATTCATTGATTTATGTACCTTGCTTTTTCCTCAATAGCCCTATGGGGGTGGAGAATCATTAATGCGCTTAAGTGATAAGAAGAGTTCACTTTATAATTTTTTAATCATTAAGGGACCATGTGAATAACAATCTATGGTTAAAAATAAAGAATCTATAAGACAAACTATTTGGCATCATATTCAAAAAATTTTTTACCTGCAAGCAATGAAGCCTATTCCTTAAAGTTGAAGTAGAGTTTCAGTGCTTGGATTTTTTGAAATATTCATTGATTTATGTACCTTGCTTTTTCCTCAATAGCCCTATGGGGGTGGAGAATCATTAATGCGCTTAAGTGATAAGAAGAGTTCACTTTATAATTTTTTAATCATTAAGGGACCATGTGAATAACAATCTATGGTTAAAAATAAAGAATCTATAAGACAAACTATTTGGCATCATATTCAAAAAATTTATACGTATCGCTTTCGTTTAGGAAATCAAACAAAGAATAACAACTTCGACTTTGGTTGATTTAAAATAAGCTAAGAGTTTTTTAAACTTTTTTTTATTTATCATTATTGTAGACCACCTTAGCTAAATCTCTCATGGTTGGCGAATCATTAGTACTTGTTGTTGTGAATAATTTAGTTAATAAATTGATGTTTGTCTTAACATCCTGCACATAGACTATGAAAGACAGAAATATCTACTACTTACAAGCAATGATGCCTATGCCATGACGTTGAAGTAGAGTTTCTGTGCTTACTCTTTTTGAAATATCTTTTGATTAATATATCCTTTTTTTTCTCAATAGTTCTATGGTTGGAGGATCATTATTGCAATTAAGTGATGAGAAGAGTTCACCTTATAAATTATTATTCGTTAAGTAATAATGTGAATAGCCATTTATAGTTAAAAATACAGTATCTACAGACAAACTAATCGACATCATATTTAGAAAACTTTTACGCATCACTTCCATTTAAGAAATCAAAGAAGGAATTACAACTTTGGTTGATTTAAAGTAAGCTAAGAGTGTTTTCATCTTTTTTATTATGATTATTGTAGACAACCTTAGCTAAATCTCTCATCGCTGGCAAATCATTATTACTTATTGCTACAAACAATTTTGCTAATAAATTGAAATCTGTCTTGACATCCTATGAATGTACTCAAAATTATCTTTTAAGAACTCAGAGAATAAATAAAATAACTCTAGTTGAGCTACATCAAGATAAGAGTTTTTCATTTTTTTAAGGATCACTATTGTAAACCAACTTAGCTTCTTATCTCATGTATAAAGTTTAAATTGCTCATATTAAATAGTCTGGATGCATAATCAGGTAGTGTGTTGGTGGTAGAGCATTAAGGAATTTTAGTCCATTGGTTGAAACATCAATTGGATAGAGAAAAAGGTTGTTGGCATGCTAAGGGTGTAAATGACTTGAGTCGAGCATGAGCCACCGTTGATTTGAGCTTGAGCTTGATTATTTAATCGAGTTTCGAGCTTGAGCTAAAGTCTTTTAAGTTTGAGCCGACTCAGGAGATAACTTATTTATCATAAAAGAAAGAAAATAATATTGATTTCATTTAGTGTTATAAAAAATGCCAAATAGAATGAACAATTAAGAGATAAATAATAAGAAATCACTTAATATAAATATAAAATATTATTTTTTAAAATATTTTTAATAATTTAAAGAAAAAATATTGAACTTTAATATATTTGGAGTATGTTTTCTATTAAAATTTTTTAAATGAGCCAGCTCACGAGCTAACGCGTCTAGTCAGGGCTGAATTACTTCATCAAAAGTTAATGAGCCACTTATCGAACCGAGCTCGAGCCGGCTCACAAGTCGGCTTGACTCATTTACACTCTCGACTAACAACTCACATCAAATCTTACTCAACCACCCTTCCGGCGTATTGCCAACAAGCCTAATTTTATGCATCGGGATTTTTCTTTTTGTTTTCATTAAGAGAAATTTACACACCTAGCACATAATTCTTATGTATTTACATATCTCACACCTAAATTTTCATATTTGCATACCTAGTACTTAAGTGCTTTAAACCTATGCATGAAAAGGTGTATTTAACTTTAAAAAGGTGGTAGTAGTGCTATTTTTGATGTGATATTTACATAGCTAGCACTTCGTGCGTATTACCGACAGGCCTAGTTTATGCATAGGGATTTTCCTAATATATACATATCTCGTGTTTTGTATATATATATATATATATAAGTTTCATTAAGGGAAATTTATAGCACTCAATTCTTATGTATTTACATATCTCACACCTAAATTTTCATATTTACATTCATAGCACTCCGGTACTTTAAAAATATGCACGGAATCGGTTATTTCACTTTTATTCATAGGGATTTTTCTTTTTTTTTTTCATTAAGGAAAATTTAAGAAAGGCAGAGGTAGATATAGAAAGACTTGGGCTTATTGTATAAAAAATGATCTTAAATTATTAGAACTAAATGAAAATATGACACTAAATAGAATGCAATGGAGAAAAAGGATCCATGTTTGTAGTTGTTGTATTAAGGGAAATTTACATAGATAGCACACAATTCTTATGTTTTTACGTATATCATAGCACTTTGGTGCTTTAAAAATATTCATGAAAAGGTGTGTTTAATTTTTAAAAAGTGATAATAGTGTTATTAAAGATTTGAGTGTAAATACTAAATTTTAGGTGCGAGATATGTATATATATAAGACTTGTGTGCAGTATGTAAATCTCCCTTTCAGTAAATGTTACCTCTGCAAAGTTGCCATGCTGGGAAAGCAAGAGACCACAAAGAGATGTTTTGAGTAGAGAGTTCTCTACCAATTTGGGTAATCATTTTAAAGCCAAATTGGATTGATTACTTGATTGAGTTACAACATCTTAGATTTCCTTGCAGATCTACTTCTACTTTTTATTTATTCATTCATTCATTTTCTTTGTGGTATCCAACTCTCATTTTCATATAAGTAGAAAGCAATTCCCCTATCTTCATTATTCGACCAATTTTACAAGTAGACATCACTTATTCGATCCAATTGTGTGTAAAAATATATAGTGCTAGGCAATTGACCACAAAGAGAGGCTTTGAGTAGAGAATCCTCAACTGAAATTCTCAGCTCAAGTTCAGGAATCATTTTAAGGCCAAATCGGATTGATTGCTTGACTGTGTTACAAGAACCTAGGTTTTCTTGCAGAACTACGTCTAGGTTTTTTCTTATTATTTATTCTTTTTCTTTACTGGGATCCAACTCTCATTTTCATATAAGTAGATATGCAATTCCTCTCTCTTCATTATTAGACCAATTTAAGTAGATATGCAATTCCCCTCTCTCTTCATTATTAGACCAATTTTCCAAGTAGACATCACCTATTCGATTCAATTGTATTAAAAAAATATAGGCAAGTGATCACAAAGAGAGGCTTTGAGTAGAGAATTCTCTACTAAAGTTGGATAATCATTTGAAGGCCAAATTGGATTGATTTGTTGACTGAGTTACGACTACCAAGATTTCCTTACATATCTAAATCTATGCTTTTGTTTATTTATTTATTCATTTTCTTTACTGGGATCCAACTCTCATTTTCATATAAGTAGATATGCAATTCCGCTCTCTTCATTTATTTGATCAATTTTCCAATTAGACATCACCTATTCGATCCAATTGTGTGTAAAAATATATTGTCTTAGGCAAGTGATTTATTGCCTAGATAGAAGCTAGTTTGTCTCCCACAACTTAAACCTGAGTCAGCTTTGTATTTCATTACTACCTGATTGGAGATGAACAATTTGCTTATTTGCTTGAGTAAACCAACTCATCCATGATAGATAGGCCACTTGAGCATCTCCAACCAATTTCAGAACTTTATAGATGTTATTTTTTGTTGCAGAGCACCTTCTATAGGTGCATGAGACATTGATTCAACCACATTAGCAAATTCAAGTCCAATATATCTTTGTGGAAACATTATGGCATTTTCTTCATCATTTTAATGAATAAGTGGATAATTTCTCTTGAATTGTGGCTTTTATGGTTTGCGAGTTATGTGGCTTATGTTTCTGTGTTTTGAAGGGGAAGATATCGTTACACTCATGTTCTTGTAAGGCATATTACGAATCATGGCTGAGAGCATCAGCTTTTTTAAATGTCATACGAGTTTTCAAGGTTCCTTATAAAGTTATTTGCATAACATTATTATTCTTTTGATCTATTTATGTGCTCATTTTTCTTAAACAATTCCTTTCATGGTTTTTATGCACCGATAGTTGGCATATTCTTTCCAAATTTGTTTGATCTGACTAGTCCTTGGGAAACTTCGAGGTTTGCTGAATACTTTTTATTTATCAGAGCTTGCTGAAAATGATTTGGAGGAATTTCGTTCCTGTGTGGAGGCGTTAAGTGTTGAGATGGAAAACACGAAGGTAGAGTTTTAATGCATGGATCTTCAAAAAGAACTCATCTTTCTTTTTCTTTTTTTTGTTATTATTTGGTAGAAAAGGTTATTCTAACAAAACCTTATTTTATGAAGGAAAAGCTAAAAGGTTTTGGAGCTATTGAAGTCAAGAATGTAGATTATATGATTGATCCTACTGGGTCATTAGAAAATTCTAAGGGGAGGAATCAGCTCACATTGTCCTTGAAACAGGAGATAAAAAAACTGAAACAAGCTTACAGAGAGCTCAGTTCAAGAAGGGATACTGAGGTTTCGGCTTTGTTAGCAGAAAAGGATTTTGTTTGGAACCAATTTAGGAAGATAGAGAGTGACTACATTGCTCTTGTTAAGACCAAGCATACAGAAGCTGATCATCAAGCCATGGAAACTATTGAGAAACTCCAAGATAATGTTAATAAATTGCAGCAGACAATAGAGAAGAAGGATGAGCTTATTGTGAAGTTAGAAGCAGAAAGATCCATACTTGAGTTAGATGTTAGGAAACATGCTGAAAAAGCAGAACAAGCTAATAATAAAATGAAGAGGCTTCATGCTGATTTGGATGAGCATCGATTGGCAGCCATGGAGAATGAAAAAATAATTGATAAGTTAAGAAAAGAGCTTCACATAAACAAGTTTGACAAGCCCATTTCTTCGGATAAAATTAAATGTGAAGGGAAGTTCAAAATTGGATCAGCTGGTGTTAGACAAATTCATCTGCAGAGGTGTTCGAGGAAACGTAACCTGGAAAGTTATGACACCTACACAAGTCAAAAACATGCAAATTCTAGTGGGATTACATGTGAAACACCAGCATGTAATAACGTTCATGTGAGTTGCTTATCCAACCTGATTCTTATCTAATCTATAAATACTTACTGTCTTTTCTCGTTTCCATAGCCATACTATAACTTTTTTCTCTCATTTTTATACCTACTTTTGACTTTTTTAATTATTTGATATTACTTCAATAATTTTCAAATCTTTAATCTAATTAGTTTCCATTGCTATCTCCGCACTTATCTGGTTGAAAGGTTTTCATGATTTGCTATCTAATTATGCGCCAAATGCCTCACAAGCACATTGTTCATGCGATTGCTTATTTTGAACCTGAGATTATTTTTTTATACTTCTATGTAAGTTTTTCTAAAAATGGTCATTTGATCCCATATTTTGGAAATCTAATTATAATATAATATTATGAAAATTGTCGCACCTTCACAAGTCAATAGCAGAAAACAAATTCCCGAAGGGTGTTTTTGAAACACTAACTTCTATAAAGTTTTGTCATATGGACTGGCGGATATTGTCGGATCTGAACTTTTAGTTTTTTATTTTTCTATTTCTTTCTTTTCTTGTTCTCATATCCATCCTAGAAATTGTTTAGCATGAAAAATCTTAAATTTTTAATTTGATTTTAGAACTTAAAATTTTTATTGTTATAAAACTATCATTTTCCTTCCAATTTTAGTCAGGTTAATTTCCATTACTATCTCTGTGTTTATGTGGTTGGATATTTTTCATGATTTGTCGTCAAAGAGCCAAATGTTTTTGTCCATGTGGGGATACTTAGTGCGGACCTTCAATCATCTTTTTATATTTTTAAGCATGTTTAAAATGATAGTTGATCCTTGTGTATTTTGAAAACTAATAATAATATTACTATTAAAATTTGGATTGTGTCAACATTGACACAAACAATCCAATTAACTTTCTCATTTTATTAAAATCCGAATGTGGTTGAAGTGGTTGGGTCATATTTTGAGTCGTACCAATGTTTTTTTCTATACTCCTTTATCAAGTAAAAATTGTATATGCGCTATTGAAGTTGCCATAAAAGTTTAGTAAGAATCTAAGGTTTTAATGATATTGGGGATAATGATCCATTTTGGATTAAATAAATATTATGATTTTATTAAAAAATGTCATGAAATGATATCATAAAAAATTTTAGCTGTTCCTAATATTTTCTTTTCTTTTATATCAAGTTGAAAGTGAATATGTTGTTGAAATAGGTCATAAAAAGAAAGAATTTGAGATTTTAATGATGTTGGTGACAATGATCTATTCAGGGTTAATAAATTATTTTGATCTTATAAAAAACTTATCAAAAAGTTTCATGAAATGTTAATTTACTCACATAAAAGTACAATATAATCACAATATCTCTGTACACACACGAAAAATTATATCAAGCTAGTCCTCAAGAAAGTTTTGCACAAAGTTCTTCACCACCAAGAAAAGACAACATAAAAAAATTCACAACATAATGCTATAAAAATCCATAAGGAAGAGCATAAAATGAGCTTTGGAATAATAGCATATGGTTAAGCAGCTAATGTTGAAATTCTTTATACCTAGTTCATATAACTTATAATGAAGAATGGTCCTATATGAGATGTGTAAAAGGTTGGTGGACATGTCAAGGTTTGTTATTTTTTGTATTATGTAATAGTGTACACATTTGATAAATTATAATAAAGTAATTCCCAAGAAATTTCAACATCAGATAATTTGTAAGATTATTTAATGGAAAAATAATTTACCTAGTTACACAACATTAAGCGATAAAATAAAATAAAAAAAAAGAAACTGAGCTCTTGGAAGCAACATAACTGACAAGAGCATAATATTAAGCAATGAATGTTGGCGTTCTTTACAATTAGGCATATAACTTATGATAACTATGGCTTATATATGTGGTGCATAAAAGATTGATGGGAGGAGGCATTAGACTTAGCTATTTATTCTATCATTAATTTATTTTAAGCTAACAAGATTGTATTTGTGATAGTAATAGTAGTATATATGTATGGGTCAAGTTAATCTTAACCTAGATTGGCACCACCTTTTTTTAAACCGTTCAAATTTATAATTGGATTAGAAGTTTCAATATATTAATTAGTCTATTTATCATGTCAATTGGATAGATACCTAGATCAGATAACATAATAACTCGAATGATGGGTAGGCATTTATTGTAAGAAAAAAAATTGTTGAATCATTGAAGTCCAATAATAGTTTGTTTCCTCACATTCACCTACATTGATGTTTTTAGTTGGTGGTCAAGACAACCTCTATAAAACTGGCACCATATTCTTCAGTTTCCACCTCTCACTGGCAAGTGCGGCCGCCAAACATCTTATCGAAGCGTTTTTTATAGGTTAATATAGGTAAGGGATTATAGCCAAATAGGGAAACCCTAACTTAAATGCAATGCTAGATCAAGTCAATAAATTTTTTGTTTGGGTTTAAATTAAAGTTTATAGAGTAAATTAAATACCAATTTTAACACTGGAGCTACAATGTCAGGCTTTGATTGGCCGTTTTTCTTTAATCCTCCCACTATTATGTTGAATCTAGATATGTCCGTCTATTCATGGTTTATGTATTTATCTTGTTGATTTATAAGAAAATAGAATAACTAAAAAATAGATGAGTTAGAAGAACCAAATCACCTAAAATTAGGCTAAAAAATACTACAATGATAGAGTAGAGGGGGAGAGAGAGATTAAAAGGGATCAAACCTATGGCTCTTCCAACCCTTATTTATAGGTATAGATTTGGATTTTTAAGTGCCATTGGGAAAATTATTAAATTAGCTATACAAATGTAATAAAAACACAAGGAGATGCAAAATGCTCGGAACCTTAGTATAGACTCGAATTGAGTAGCCAATTTGTTGGAGAGGTTGTTGAGTTCTTTGGCAGATCAAGTTGGGTCTCTAGTTGTAGAGAATTGATTTAGCATGGTTGGCCTATGGTCTGGAATTAGCCCAGTGAAAGAAGTTGGACACTTTTTTATGATGCTCGCACGAGTCTGCCGTGCTGCTTGCAATTATATGCCTTGAAAATTTTGGCAAGTCTACATTGGGTATGATCTTAAAAGTTGATATTGAGACAAAATGTTGAGCTCATCACTTCTTTAACTTTTTCAAGTGCCCATAAACTCAATCTACTTTGAATCTCTATGCTCGAAATTTCTTGTGTGCCACTTGTAGCTTTGAGTATGGTTTTAAAAATTGGACCGTGCATCGAACCACAAATAGAAAATGCATAAAGTTTAAATGTTGAACTAGATTTGAACTAGGATTGAACCGTTTAATATATAACAACAAAAACATTATAAACAACAACAACAACAACAACAAGCCTTTGTCCCACTTAGTATGATTGGCTACATGAATTTTTTTCACCATTGTATCCTCTTGAGTGTATATTTTCATTTAATTCTAATAAATTCAGTCATTTTTATACAACATGCCGAAGTTTTTTTAGGTATACCTTTAACTTTTTTAACATAAGTCAAATTTCAAACATCAGATGATCAACGTTTAACGCGATCAAGCCATCTAAGGAGAGTCTTTCTAATCTTGTTTATCATTGGAGCTACTCCAACCCTTTCATAGAAATACTTTTTTTGCTTTTTGTCTCTCAGTGTAAAGCCACTCATCCACACGGGCATTCTTATCTCAGCAACACTGAACTTAATTTATGCTTCTCTTTTCTAGGATAACATTCAACACCATATAGAATTGCATGTTTCACCATCATCGTATAAAATTTTCCTTTAAGTAGTACTTTTCTATCACACAATAGGTCTGATGCATAAAATTATTTTAATATGATTTAAAATAGTACAATAATTATAGAATATATTTATTAAACTTATTTTAAAAAAATATAATTTAAATAAATGAATATAAATTAACATATGATATATTTTATCAATTGTTGTTGTCCAATTCTCATAGTAAGCCCAATTTATGTAGCTTGATCTTTCCACAACTTTTATTGTCTAACCTAATTCCTTCAGTTCAATTATTCATTTCTATAGTCATTTGTGTAATTATTCATTTCTATAGTCATTTGTGTAACTCATTTAGTCTCACATCATAGGGGAGAGTTAACATTATCTATTTTAAATTGGAAAAGAAAGAGGAGCTTATAGCTCACTTACTTTATAGACATTGGTCTTAATTTACATGTTGATTTGAATCTCATATCATGTATGAGATATTATGTTTTAAGTTTAAAAAACTAGTTTATAATCAATTATCTCATCGATTAATATTAATTAAAGGCTAAAAAATTGAACCGTTTAGTTTTACGAAAATCGACCCAACGGACTAGTTCTTTCAATGGCACGGTTCATTAGCTCATTAGTTGACCTTCCGATTTGTGGCAGTTTCGGATGATTTGATGCTGAATCAGGCTTATGATTGGTTTAAAGTTGAACAAGTCAACCGGTCAATCTGGTCCAATTTTCAAAACTATGGCTTTGAGTTAGCAAATTTTGGACTGATACAAGTCACTTTTTGTAATAAATTTACCTTCAACTAAGAATTTGATAGTCACATGGTATATTAAGACGACTGCCTGAAAAATGTTGAGATGAGATCTACTGAATAAAACATTATAAGTTGTTGGAGCATCAGTAATAACAAAGTCAACCATAATAGTGTATTGTTGATTCCCTTCTCCCTAAATGATAGACAGAATAATTATTCTTTCAATTTCTCTTTTTTTTTTGTGATTTCGGATAAGAGATATATCTTTTAAGATAGATGTGTTCTTCAATCTTCATTTTCTTAAATACTCATCTAAAATTTTTATTGACCGAACTCTCTATTTTAATCAATATGCTTTTGATTTTATAATTGGTGATCAACATATTTACTAGAATAATCACATCATTGTGCGAATCATTGTTCAATGGCTTTTAGCTTCTAAAAATATGACCGTTACAAGTTTAGCCATAGGGGCTCGCATCACAACTATCAATTTCACCTCCTGAACTTATTCGCTCTAGGCACGAATCATAGTTGTTAA